CCTCTTGGGGGCCTCTTGGGGGTCCGTCCTTCCTTGTGTGCGTGCCTCGGGCCCCTCATTGTGTGTGAGTCGTTCGGGCCGTTCGTCCTGGTGTGCGTCGCTCGGGCCCCTCCTTGTGTGTGAGTCGTTCGGGCTCCCCGTGGTGTGAGTCGTTGGGGCTCCTCGTCCTGGGGGGAGTCGTTCGGCCTGCTCGTGGGGCCTCTTGGGGGCCTCTCGGAGGTTCTCGGGGCGTCTTGGGAGCCTTTGGGGGGGTGTCTTTGGGGCCTTTTGGGGGCGTCTTGAAGCGTCTTGGGGCTTCTTGGGGGCTTCTTGGAGGCCTCCTTGGGGCCTCTGGAGGCCTCTTGGGGGCCTCTTGGGACTCTCGTCCTTCCTTGTGTGAGTGCCTCGGGCCCCACATTGTGTGTGAGTCGTTCGGGCTCCTCGTGGTGTGAGTCGTTGGGGCCCCTCGTCCTGGTGTGCGTCGTTCGGGCCCCTCCTTGTGTGTGAGTCGGTCGGGCTCCTCGTGGTGTGAGTCGTTCGGGCCCCTCGTCCTGGTGTGAGTCGATCGGGCGCCTCCTTGCGTGTGAGTCGTTCGGACTCCTCGTGGTGTGAGTCGTTCGGGCCTTTCGTCCTGGTGTGCGTCGCTCGGGCCCCTCCTTGTGTGTGAGTCGTTCGGGCTCCTCGTGGTGTGAGTCGTTGGGGCTCCTCGTCCTGGGGGGGGTCGTTCGGCCTCCTCGTGGGGACTCTTGGGGGCCTGTTGGAGGTTCTCGGGGCCTCTAGGGAGCCTTTGGGGGGGTCTCTTGGGGGCCTCTTGGGTGCCTCTTGAGGAGTCTTGGGGCTTCTGTGGGGCCTTTTGGAGGCCTCCTGGGGGGCCTCTTGGGGCCTCTTTGGGGCCTCTTGGGGGTCTCGTCCTTCCTTTTGTGAGTGCCTCGGGCCCCTCATTGTGTGTGCGTCGTTCGGGCCCCTCGTCCTGGTGTGCGTCGTTCGGGCCCCTCCTTGTGTGTGAGTCGTTCGGGCTCCTCGTGGCGTGAGTCGTTGGGGCCCCTCGTCCTGGTGTGAGTCGTTCGAGCGTCTCCTTGCGTGTGAGTCGTTCGGGCTCCTCGTGGTGTGAGTCGTTCGGGCCGTCCGTCCTGGCGTGCGTCGTTCGGGCCCCTCCTTGTGTGTGAGTCGTTGGGGCTCCTCGTGGTGTGAGTCATTCGGGCCCCTCGTCCTGGTGTGAGTCGTTCGGGCGCCCCCTTGCGTGTCAGTCGGTCGGGCCTCCGTGGTGTGAGTCGTTCGGGCCGTTCGTCCTGGTGTGCGTCGTTCGGGACCCTCCTTGTGTGTGAGTCGTTCGGGCTCCTCGTGGTGTGAGTCGTTGGGGCCCTTCGTCCTGGGGTGACTCGTTCGGCCTCCTCGTGGGGCCTGAGTCGTTCGGGCTCCCCGTGGTGTGAGTCGTTCGGGCCCCTCGTCCTGGTGGGAGTCGTTCGAGCGCCTCCTTGCGTGTGAGTCGTTCGGGCTCCTGGTTGTGTGTGTCGTTCGGGTCACTCCTCCTGGTGTGCGTCGCTTGGGCTCCTCCTTGTGTGTGAGTCGTTCGGGTTCCTCGTGGTGTGAGTCGTTGGGGCTCCTCGTCCTGGGGGAAGTCGTTCGGCCTCCTAGTGAGGCCTCCTGGGGGCCTCTTGGAGGTTTTCGGGGCCTCTTGGGAGCCTTTGGGGGGTGTCTTTGGGGCCTCCTGGGGGCCTCTTGCAGCGTCTTGGGGCTTCTTGGGGGCTTCTTGGGGGCCTCTTGGGGGCCTCTTGGGGCCTCTTGGGGGCCTCTTGGGACTCTCGTCCATTATGTCGGCCACTTGTTGTTGTGATGCCTGTTTCACTCCTTGCCCCATTGGCCCCGCCCTCGTGGCAGCAGCGTTGTGGCGGCTAACGCTCGAGGACATGCAGGCACGGTTGCCGCCGCGGACTGCCGCAGACACGCGCCACTGTCGAGCTTGTATGTGCACGATTTCGCCCCCTTGCGAAAATAGGGCACCCTGTCCTTCGCTGCCAAGGGGGTAAGAGGTGTCGCGATTTTTTGTTAGGAGGTCGATCGGGCCCTCGCCAGGCCTGGAAGACGGACCTCCGATGATCCTCTAGCGCGCTCGTGCGCAGTAGGCGCGTCGTACGTTACGCAACGTGCCGGCTGAACTGCACCCGCCCTTGCCCACCAAAGAAGGAAAAAGAAAACAAAGCAGGAAGAAGGCCTCCCCTAAACGTGCAAATTTGCAGTGCCACGGGAGGGCCTCCAGAGATAATGCGAGAGTTCGCGTCTGTGTGCGTTGCAGATATGTGAGTCGTTCCGGCTATTCGTGGTGTGAGTCGTTGGGGCCCCTCGTCCTTCCTTGTGTGACTCCCTCGGGTCCCTCATTATGTGTGAGTCGTTCGGGCTCCTCGTGGTATGAGTCCCCTCCTTGTGTGTGAGTCGGTCGGGCCCCTCCTCCTGGTGTAAATCGTTCGGGCTTCCCGTGGTGTGAGTCGTTGGGGGCCCGCGTCGTGGTGTGAGTCGTTCGGGCCTTTCCTTGTGGTGTGAGTCGTTCGGGCTCTTCGTGGTGTGAGTCGTTGGGGCCCCACGGCGTGGCGTGAGTCGTTCGGGCTCCTCGTGGGGCCTCTTGGGAGCCTCTTGGAGCCTCTCGGGGCCTCTGGGGCGTCTCTTGGGGGCCTCTTGGGGGCCTCTTGGGGGCCTCTTGGAGCTACTTGGGGCCTCATGGGGGCCTCTTGGGAGTCTCTTGGTGACCTCTTGGGGCCTCTGGGGGGCCTCTTGGGGGCCTCTTGGAGGCCTCTTGGGAGCCTCCAGGGGGCCTCTTAGGGTCATCTTGGGGCCTCTTGCGACCTCCTCAGAAGCGGAAGTGTGCGCTGCCCCCTGAGAAAGGTAAAACGACGCCACAACCTTTGTAAAATCAATGATTGTGTGAGTGCCTCGGGCCCTTCATTGTGAGTGAGTCGTTCGGGCTCCTCGTGGTGTGAGTCGTTCGGGCCCCTCGTCCTGGTGTGCGTCGTTGAGACCCTTCCTTGTGTGTGAGTCGTTCGGGCTCCCCGTGGTGTGAGTCGTTGGGGCCCCTCGTCCTGGTGGAAGTCGTTCGGGCGCCTCCTTGCGTGTGAGTCGTTCGGGCTCCTGGTGGTGTGAGTCGTTCGGGTCGCTCCTCCTGGTGTGCGTCGCTCGGGCCCCTCCTTGTGTGTGAGTCGTTCGGGCTCGTCGTGGTGTGAGTCGTTGGGGCTCCTCGTCCTGGGGGGGGTCGTTCGGCCTCCTCGTGGAGCCTCTTGGGGGCCTCTTGGAGGTTCTCGGGGCCTCATGGGAGCCTTTTGGGGGGGGTCTCTTGGGGGCCTCTTGGGGGCCTCTTGAAGCGTCTTGGGGCTTCTTGGGGGCGGCATCGTGGGGGCCTCTTGGGGGCCTCTTGGGGCCTTTTGGGGGCCTCATGGGACTCTCGTCCATTATGTCGGCCACTTGTTGATGTGATGCATGTTTCACTCCTTGCCCCATTGGCCTCGCCCTCGTGGCAGCAGCGTTGTGGCGGCTAACTCTCGAGGACATGCAGGCACGGTTGCCACCGCGGACTGCCGCAGACACGCGCCAGTGTCGAGCTTGTATTTGCACGATGTCGCCCCCTTGCGAAATGAGGGCACCCTGTCCCTCGCTGCCAAGGGGGTAAGAGGTGTCGCGATTTTTTGTTAGGAGGTCGATCGGGCCCTCGCCAGGCCTGGAAGACGAACCTCCGATGATCCTCTAGCGCGCTGGTGCGCAGTAGGCGCGTCGTGCGTTACGCAACGTGCTGGCTGAAGTGCACCCGCCCTTGCCCATCAAAGAAGAAAAAAGAAAACGAAGCAGGAAGAAGGCCTCCCCTAAACGTGCAGGTTTGCAGTGCCACGGGAGGGCCTCCAGAGATAATGCGAGAGTTCGCGTCTGTGTGCGTTGCAGATATGTGAGTCGTTCCGGCTATTCGTGGTGTGAGTCGTTGGGGCCCCTCGTCCTTCCTTGTGTGACTCCTTCCGGTCCCTCATTATGTGTGAGTCGTTCGGTCTCCTCGCGGTATGAGTCCCCTCCTTGTGTGTGAGTCGGTCGGGCCCCTCCTCCTGGTGTAACTCGTTCGGGCTTCCCGTGGTGTGAGTCGTTGGGGGCCCGCGTCGTGGTGTGAGTCGTTCGGGCTCCTCGTGGTGTGAGTAGTTCGGGCGCCTCGTCCTGGTGTGAGTCGTTCGGGCCCTTCCTTGTGGTGTGAGTCGTTCGGGCTCTTCGTGGTGTGAGTCGTTGGGGCCCCACGGCGTGGTGTGAGTCGTTCGGGCTCCTCGCGGGGCCTCTTGGGTGCTTCTTGGAGCCTCTCGGGGCCTCTGGGGCGTCTCTTGGGGGCCTCTTGGAGGTTTTCGGGGCCTCATGGGAGCCTTTTTGGGGGGGTCTCTTGGGGGCCTCTTGGGGGCCTCTTGGGGCCTCTTGGGGGCCTCTTGGGGGCCTCTTGGAGGCCTCTTGGGAGCCTCCTGGGAGCCTCTTGGGGTCATCTTGGGGCCTTTTGCGACCTCCTCAGAAGCGGAAGTGAGCGCTGCCCCCTGAGAAGGAGAAAATGACGCCAAAACCTCTGTATAATCAATAATTTTGCGATGAAGGACGATGAGCGCGGCCCTTTCAGAAAGCCAAAAAGGGGCCGAAACCGTAGTAAAATCAATGTTTTTGGCTTCAAAGACGAGTTGATGCGCCAAACGGTTTCCCCCCCTCGGGACCAGAATCCTCGTGAGGGTCGTCGTTTTTTGGCCCTCCCAGGAGTCGAAAAAGACCCCCTTGACACCACTCCGCCCGCCCTCTCCAGGTCCAGGGGAGGGGGTAGGGGGAGGGGTAAACCCCTCCCCGAAGGGGAAGAAGGGGGTTGAGGACAGAGCGGGCTCTCTAAACCACTCACGCCCAAAGGGCTGGTGGGATTGGAACATATTGCAAGGATTATGAATACCCAGGCAAGTTACTATCTCTCTCTCTCTCTCTCTATCTCTATCTCTCTCCCTGACACACACGCGCATACGCCTGTGGTCCCACAGGGTTCGGCGGATTCGCATGTCGGCCACGGGGTATACTCTGTTGGTGTGGTGGGCATCGCGACGAGGGTTACCACCATGGCAAGTACTACTTCAGCATCACAGGCTACCATCACCCGCACGCTGACAAGCACTTCAGCAGCTACCGTCGCACTCGCCAGCACAAGCCTTGGCGAGGAGGTCACCACCACCGACAAACAGACATCTGAGGTTGCCACTGCGACAGCACTCGAGGTATTCACCATGGGGATGGAAACCACTGGGGCCCCTACTGTGCTATTCGGCGAGGTTGTGACCACCACCGACGTGGCGACTCCGGAGGTGGCCACTGCGACAACAACCGAGGAGTCGAAGACCACGGGAGCCCTTACTGTTTTGCCCAGCGAAATGGTGACCACCACAAATGTGGAGATTCTTGAGGTAGCCAGTGCGACAACAACCGAGGAGGGCACCATAGAGGCGAAGACCACTGGAGCTCTCATTGTGTCACCTGGCGAGGAGGTGACCACCACCGACGTGGTGATATCTGAGGTGGCCACTGCGACAGCAACCGAGGGGGACACCATAGAGGTGAAGACAACTGGAGCTCCGACGGTGCTACCCGGCGAGACGGTGACCACCACCGACGGTGTGATGTCTGCAGCGTCAACCGAGGAGGGTTCCATGGAGGTGAAGACCACTGGGGCCTCTACTATGTTTCCCGAAGAGGTGGTGACAACTACCGACGTGGAGACCTTTGAGGTGGAGGTGGAAACCACTGGAGCCCCCATTGCTTCACCTGGCGAGGATGTGACCACCACCGACGTGGTGATGTTTGCAGTGTCCACTGCGACAGCAACCGAGGAGGGTTTCATGGAGGTGACGACCACAGGGGCCCCAACTATGTTTCCCGAAGAGGTGGTGACAACCACCGACGTGGAGATCTTGGAGGTGGAGGTGGAAGCCACTGGAGCTCCCACTGCGTCACCTGGCGAGGATGTGACCACCACTGACGAGGGAACGCTTGAGGTGGCCACTTCGACAGTGACCGAGGAGGGCTCCATGGAGGTGAAGACCACTGGGGCCCCTACTATGTTACCAGAAGAGGTGGTGACAACCACCGACGTGGAGACCTTGGAGGTGGAGGTGGAAGCCACTGGAGCCCCCACTGCGTCACCTGGCGAGGATGTGACCACCACCGACGCCGAAACGTTTGAGCAGGCCACTGCGACAGTAACCGACGAGGGCTACATGGAGGTGAAGACCACTGGGGCCCCTACTATGTTACCCGAAGAGGTGGTGAGAACCACCGACGTGGAGACCTTTGAGGTGGAGGTGGAAACCACTGGAGCCCCCACTGCAACACCTGGCGAGGATGTGACCACCACCGACGTGGGAACGTTTGAGGTGTCCACTGCGACAGTGACCGAGGAGGGCTCCATTGAGGTGACGACCACTGAAGCTCTCACCGTGTCACCTGGCGAGGAGGTGACCACCACCGACGTGGTGATGTCTAAAGTGGCCACTGCGACAGCAACCGAGATGGGCACCATAGAGTTGAAGACCACTGGAGCCCCTAATGTGCTACCCGGCGAGAATGTGACAACTACCGACGTGGTGATGTTTGCAGTGTCCACTGCGACAGCAACCGAGGAGGGTTTCATGGAGGTGACGACCACAGGGGCCCCCACTATGTTTCCCGAAGAGGTGGTGAGAACCACAGACGTGGAGACCTTCGAGATGGAGGTGGAAACCACTGGATTCCCCACTGCGTCACCTGGCGATGATGTAACCACCACCGACGCCGAAACGTTTGAGCAGGCCACTGCGACAGCAACCGAGGAGGGTTCCACGGATGTGATGACCACTGGGGCCCCCACTATGTTTCCCGAAGAGGTGGTGACAACCACCGACGTGGAGACCTTGGAGGCGGAGGTGGAAACCACTGGAGCCCCCACTGCGTCTTCTGGCGAGGATGTGACCACCACCGACGCGGGAACGTTTGAGATGGCCACTGCGACAGCAACCGAGGAGGGCACCATAGAGGTGAAGACCACTGGGGCCCCCACTATGTTTCCCGAAGAGGTGGTGAGAACAACCGACGTGGAGACCTTTGAGGTGGAGGTGGAAACCACTGCAGCCCCCACTACAGGTAGCTGGGCGTTGACAACTCTGACATTGACGACGACTTTAACGTCGGCCACAATGACGGCGACCACCATCACGTCGACTCAAACAAAGACAAGTAGCTGGTCGTCGGTAAGTCTCACATCGGCAACGACTTCGACCACCATGACAAGCACAACCACACCTATGTGGGTTGTGAGTAGCACCATGGGGTTCAGAAGCACAGGGACCGCGGAGCAGGTGAAGGCCCTGGTGAGGTCTTACTTCATTGCCAAGTTCAAAGTCGAGGAAGACAAGTTAATGGTAATTGTTTCAAGAGACCTTGGACGATCAGCTCGGCGGCTCTCCACCTCGTCATCGGCATGGGTGGTGGACTTCGAGTTAAGCGCGCCTCAGCAGGCTGCCGAAGAGATCTTCCAGACAGCGGATGGCAGGGGTTCCGAAACGGCCGGTGATCATGGGCGGAGCTCAGGTAATTGGATTTCCAGTGTCTGCGGCAAACCCCTGGACAGTGCCAGCTCAGCCTCGGAATGCGTTGAGGATGGTGCTCTACCGAGTCCGCCTGGACAGGGCCGGTAAAGTCATTTGGGCGCCGTCTGGTGGAGCAGTGCTACGATGTTGTAGCGTAGTGCGGCTTTAACGTTCCATGGTTGTTGCGCGCTGCGGCGTGTTTGCTGGAGCCTCTTGGCGGCTTTTGTGGGCGGCCTCTTGAGAACTGGTAGGAAGGTTATGTGGTCGTCTTGGGCGGGCTGTGGCCAGCTTGGGGTCGTCTGAAGTTCCCCAATCAGAGCTTGCCTCTGTAGGGGTCCTAGCGGATCCATATGGTTAGGTTAGGTTTGCCGCCGATTTTCGCCGCACGCCCGGGTGCCCGGGTGCCCGGGGGTGCCCGGGTGCCCCTGGGGTGCCCGGGTGCCCGGTTGCCCGGGTGCCCGGGTGTTTGGGCGTGCCCGGAGGTGCCCGGGGGTGCCCTATAGCCTGATAGCCCTATAGCCCTACAACTCTATAGCTCTATAGCCCTATAGCTCAATAGCCCTATAGCCCCCTAGCCCTATAGCCCTGATTGTTTTTTTCTCTGGTATCATTTGTTTCTTGAGCCATCTCAGGCAGATAATAGAGTCAACATCACAGAACAGGCGTATCTCTTCCGCGTTTTGGTCTTCAGCGTTCTGCTGGAGGATTATTTGAGGACCTGGTTGCAGCATATGGCATGGTTGGGCCTCTCGGGAACATCTTGGCAGTTTTGGGCACCCACAGGCCGTTCTTGCGCCAGTACAGATTGCAGCTGTCTTGGGGCGGCCTTGGGCCATCTCAGGGCGATTTCCATAACGTGAATGCTAGAGGTACCACGTTTCTAAACCGTGGGCGCGTGAAGGAAGTGCTTTCGTAATGAATTTGCATACCTGTGCGATTATCTTTAGGTTCATCCCCTGCATGCCCCTGAAATTCAGTTCCTTGCCGAGGAGAGCATGAGTGCCAACCCCATTGACACAGCAGCGGCACTGCAATCAGCATTCGGATCGGAAGGACTTGAAATGGATGAGACCTCGTTGGTCGTCACAGAGCCACTACAGAGGATTGTTACCGTCACCATGACTACGCAGAGCGCGACGTCTGCGAGAGAAACAACCACCAGCAGAACGTTTGAGTTGGCCACTGCGACAGTAACCGAGGAGGGCTCCATGGAGGTGACGACCACTGGGGACCCTACTATGTTACCAGAAGAGGTGGTGAGAACAACCGACGTGGAGACCTTCGAGGTGGAGGTGGAAACCACTGGAGCCCCCACTGCAACACCTGGCGAGGACGTGACCACCACTGACGAGGGAACGCTTGAGGTGGCCACTGCGACAGTGACCGAGGAGGGCTCCATGGAGGTGAAGACCACTGGGGCCCCTACTATGTTACCAGAAGAGGTGGTGACAACCACTGACGTGGAGACCTTTGAGGCGGAGGTGGAAACCACTGGAGCCCCCACTGCGTCTTCTGGCGAGGAGGTGACCACCACCGACGTGGTGATGTTTGCAGTGTCCACTGCGACGGCAACCGAGGAGGGTTTCATGGGGGTGACGACCACTGGGGCCCCCACTATGTTTCCCGAAGAGGTGGTGACAACCACCGACGTGGAGACCTTTGAGGCGGAGGTGGAAACCACTGGAGCCCCCACTGCGTCTTCTGGCGAGGATGTGACCACCACCGACGCGGGAACGTTTGAGATGGCCACTGCGACAGCAACCGAGGAGGGCACCATAGAGGTGAAGACCACTGGGGCCCCCACTATGTTTCCCGAAGAGGTGGTGACAACCACCGACGTGGAGACCTTGGAGGCGGAGGCGAAAACCACTGGAGCCCCCACTGCGTCTCCTGGCGAGGATGTGACCACCACCGACGCGGGAACGTTTGAGATGGCCACTGCGACGGCAACCGAGGAGGGCACCATAGAGGTGAAGACCACTGGGGCCCCCACTATGTTACCAGAAGAGGTGGTGAGAACAACCGACGTGGAGACCTTTGAGGTGGAGGTGGAAACCACTGGAGCCCTCACTGCGTCTCCTGGCGATGATGTGACCACCACCGACGCGGGAACGTTTGAGGTGGCCACTGCGACAGCAACCGAGGAGGGCACCATAGAGGTGACGACCCCTGGGGCCCCTACTATGTTACCCGAAGAGGTGGTGACAACCAACGGCGTTGAAACCTTGGAGGAAGAGGTGGAAACCACTGCAGTCCCCACTACAGGTAGCTTGACGTTGACAACTCTGACATTGACGACGACTTTAACGTCGGTCACAATGACAGCAACCACCATCACGTCGACTCAAACAAAGACAAGTACCTGGTCGTCGGTAAGTCTCACATCGGCAACGACTTCGACCACCATGACAAGCACAACCACGCCTATGTGGGTTGTGAGTAGCACCATGGGGTTCAGAAGCACAGGGACCGCGGAGCAGGTGAAGGCCCTGGTGAGGTCTTACTTCATTGCCAAGTTCAAAGTAGAGGAGGACAAGTTAGTGGTAATCGTTTCAAGAGAACTTGGACGACCAGCTCGGCGGCTCTCCACCTCGTCATCGGCATGGGTGGTGGACTTCGAGTTAAGCGCGCCTCAGCAGGCTGCCGAAGAGATCTTCCAGACAACGGATGGCAGGGGCTCCGAAACGGCCGTTGATCATGGGCGGAGCTCAGGTAATTGGATTTCCAGTGTCTGCGGCAAACCCCTGGACAGTGCCAGCTCAGCCTCGGAATGCGTTGAGGATGGTGCTCTACCGAGTCCGCCTGGACAGGGCCGGTAAAGTCATTTGGGCGCCGTCTGGTGGAGCAGTGCTACGATGTTGTAGCGTAGTGCGGCTTTAACGTTCCATGGTTGTTGCGCGCTGCGGCGTGTTTGCTGGAGCCTCTTGGCGGCTTTTGTGGGCGGCCTCTGAGAACTGGTAGGAAGGTTATGTGGCCGTCTTGGGCGGGCTGTGGCCAGCTTGGGGTCGTCTGAAGTTCCCCAATCAGAGCTTGCCTCTGTAGGGGTCCTAGCGGATCCATATGGTTAAGTTTGGTTTGCCGCCGATTTTCGCCGCACGCCCGGGTGCCCGGGTGTTTGGGTGTGCCCGGGGGTGCCCTATAGCCCAATAGCCCTATAGCCCTGCATTTCTATAGCCCTATAGCTCTCTAGCCCTATAGCTCAATAGCCCTATAGCCCCCTATCCCTATAGCCCTGATTGGGGTTGTTCTCCGGTATCGTTTGTTTATTGTGCCACCTCAGGCAGATAATAGAGTCAACATCACAGGACAGGCGTATCTCTTCCGCGTTTTTGGTCTTCAGCGTTCTGCTAGAGGATTATTTGAGGGCCTGGTTGCGTCATATGGCATGGTTGGGCCTCTCGGGAACATCTTGGCAGTTTTGGGCACCCACAGGCCGTTCTTGCGCCAGTATGTGTGTGTGTATATATATATATATATATATATATATATATATTGCAGCTGTCTTGGGGCGGCCTTGGGCTATCTCAGGGCGATTTCCATAACGTGAATGCTAGAGGTACCACGTTTCTAAACCGTGGGCGCGTGAAGGAAGTGCTTTCGTAATGAATTTGCATACCTGTGCGATTATCTTTAGGTTCATCCCCTGCATGCCCCTGAAATTCAGCTCCTGCCGAGGAGAACATGAGTGCCAACCCCGTTGACACAGCAGCGGCACTGCAATCAGCATTCGGATCGGAAGGACTTGAAGTGGATGAGACCTCGTTGATCGTCACAGAGCCACTAAAGAGGATTGTTACCGTCACCATGACTACGCAGAGCGCGACGTCTGCGACAGACACAACCACCAGCAGAACATTTGAGTTGGCCACTGCGACAGTAACCGAGGAGGGCTCCATGGAGGTGACGACCACTAGGGACCCTACTCAGTTACCAGAAGAGGTGGTGACAACCACCCACGTGGACAGCTTTGATGTGGATGTGGAAACCACTGGAGCCCCCACTGCGTCACCTGGCGAGGATGTGACCACCACCGACGCGGGAACGTTTGAGGTGGCCACTGCTACAGTAACCGAGGAGGGCTCCATGGAGGTGACGACCACTGGGGACCCCACTATGTTACCAGAAGAGGTGGTGACAACCACCAACGTGGAGACCTTGGAGGTGGTGGTGACAACCACTGGAGCCACTGCGACAGTATCCGAGGAGGACCCCATGGAGGTGGCCACGCAGAGCGCGACGTCTGTGACAGAGACATCCACCAGCAGAACGATCACAGGAGACAGACGTCCCCTATGCGTTACTCCACCGTGTTTCCCTCGCCTCGCATCCTACAGAGGAGACTCATGCCAAGAGACACCCTGCTTGCCTCCAGGGTGCCCTGGGTTGTTACTGCGTTTCGATGATGCTGCAATGGGGAAGATGTGACGCTCCCACGGCAAAAATCAATGGACGTCCTGGGGTCTCAGGGTTGGGTTTCTTGTGGAAGGTTTCTTGTGGCCGGGCCCCTACTGTATCACAGGTCCTGCACCGCCCTCTTCCTCCCTCCTCTCCGCCAACTCTTCCATCCCCCCCTGCACCATTTCCCCCTCCGTCCCCTAACCTTGCTCTTCCCCGTCTCGTCCCCATCTTTGTCTCATCCCTCCCCTGTCCTGCCACTCTCTTCCCCCCCCCCCTCTGCCCCCCTCTGCCCATTCTCTTCCCCTCCCCCTTCCCTCTCTGCCCCATGTGCCCTCTCCCATGGTCGGCCTTTCTCCCTTCCCGTTCCTACCCCCTCCCCCTCCTCCTCCCTCCGCACCCCCCATGATGCCCTCTCTCGCCGTCCCCATCTTACCATCCTCTGCTGCCCCCCTCCGCCACATCCCGCGCCCAAACAACCCTTGCGCTCCCCCGCTCCCGATCTCTCTTGACCGTCTTGTGTACGCAGCCCCCCACGTCCGACTGCGCATAGCACGATGGTGTCATTATGTTGGGAGTTCTAGAGCCGCTATGATGCGCGCCCGTGGATATATAAGCATCAGCGCGATGGGATGGGATGGGTGGGAGAGGTAGGATGTCAGATGCAGTGGGGGCCCTTGCCAAGAAACACCCTGCTTGCCTCCAGAGTGCCCTGGGTTTCTTGGGTTTCGATGGTTTTGCGATGGGAAGCGTGACGATCCCACACCAATTCAATCAGTGGACGTCCTGGGGTCTCAGGTATGGGTTTCTTGTGGAAGGTTTCTTGTGGTCGGGCCCCTACTGTTTCTCAGGTCTTGCTTCGCCCTCTTCCTCCCTCCTCTCCGCCAACTCTTCCATCTCCCCCCTGCCCCATTCCCCCTCCGTCCCCTTACCTTGCCCTTCCCCGTCTCGTCCCCTCCACGTCTCTTCCCTCCCCTGTCTCGCCACTCTCTTCCTCTTCTGCCCCCTCTGCCCATTCCCCCCTGCCGCTGTATCACGCGAGCGCACCTAGCGGGCATGAACTCGTGTGCAGATGGCGTAGGACCGACAGCGGGCAAGGCGGCGCCGTCGGCCCGCTGTGTTACACGCGATCTGCACCTTGGCGATCGCGTGCGCCGAAGAAGCCCTCGCAGGGGTATAGCTTGCGCAGAACCCAAACCCCCTCGAGTCACGAAAAACTCACGACGGGCAGTTTTTCTATATTTGAGGCCTCTGGGGGGCTTCTCAAGCCCTCGGGACCGTCAACAAACGACGCAGGATGAAAAACCGGTCCCGGGAAATGGGTCCGGACCTTTGTGGGGGTCGCGTCGTGAAATTAGCCTGACGAGGGACCCAACCATATGCAGGTGCGAGTACCGCAATAGTGATTCATTTTTTCGGTGGCGATCCCTATGAGGCAACGAACCGTGCTAGGGGCGTGCCGACATGAGTGGCGTGGTACACAAAGTGAACGAAAACGATTGATCTGAGTACGTAGGGAGACTGTGCGCGGGTGAATCTGCGCGCGTGCGTCTGACTGTGAATGATCTGCGTGCGAGCGAGTCTACGTGCATGAATGCGAATATGACAAAGCGTGGTGCAAATGTGTAGGAATGCCAATAGTTTGACAACGACTGCCTCTGAATACTCGTGACGCTGGGCGTGGCCGCCGCAAGGAGCTTCCCCGGGACTCCCCGACGGCATCGCCCGCGCGCCGCGACGCCAATGTCGGCGCGCCCCCCCGCGAGGATCGCGCCCGCTTCCTCCCCTTCCTTTACTCCCTCTTTGCCCGCGCACTCAAAAGTCCAAGGCTGCGGGAGCAGCGCAGCGCGGAGCCCCCGCGACGCGCGCAGGTCTCCCCGGAGGGGTCCCAGCGACGCGCGCGGGTCGTCCACTGCGCGGAGCGAAGAGAGCTAGCTGGCTGGCTGATAGCGGGCAAGGCTCTTGCCGCTGGGCAGAGCGACGACGGGCGAGCGAGGCGCTGGGCGGAACGCAGCACGGAGCCCCCGCGACGCGCGCAGGTCGCCCCGGAGGAGTCCCAGCGACGCGCGCGGGTCGCCCGCTGCGCGGAGCAAAGAGAGCTAGCTGGCTGGCTGGGACCTGCGGTGGGGCTCCATATGGGGCCACGTAACGCTGTACTGGGCAAAGGAGACGCATGTGGACTGCGCCACGGGGACCTTCGGTGGAGCTCCCTATGGGGCCACGAAACGTGTGAGGGATGTGCCGGAATGGGTGTGCGGGACGCATGCGGGCACACCCACTGAGACCTTCGGTGGAGCTCCCTATGGGGCCACGAAACGTGTGAGGGTTGGGACGACATGTGTGTGCGGGACGCATGCGGGCACACCCACTGGGACCTTCGGTGGAGCCCCCTATGGGTCCGGATGGTTGCGGGAGGATTCCGAAAGGGTGTCCGTACTGCATGCGGCAACACCCACTGGGGCCTTCGGTGGAGCTCCCTATGGGGCCACGAAACGTGTGAGGGGTGTGCCGAAATGGTGTGCGGGACGCATGCGGACGGCAGCACTGGGGCCTTCGGTGGAGCTCCCTATGGGGCCACGAAACGTGTGAGGGGTGTGCCGAAATGGGTGTGCGGGACGCATGCGGGCACACCCACTGAGACCTTCGGTGGAGCTCCCTATGGGGCCACGAAACGTGTGAGGGGTGTGCCGAAATGGGTGTGCGGGACGCATGCGGGCACACCCACTGGGACCTTCGGTGGAGTTCCCTATGGGGCCACGAATAGTGTGAAGGGTGTGCCAAAATGGGTGTGCGGGACGCATGCGGGCACACCCACTGGGACCTTCGGTGGAGCACCCTATGGGGCCACGAAACGTGTGAGGGGTGTGCCGAAATGGGTGTGCGGGACGCATGTGGACGGCAGCCATGGGGCCTTCGGTGGAGCTCCCTATGGGGCCACGAAACGTGTGAGGGGTGTGCCGAAATGGGTGTACGGGACGCATGCGGACGGCAGCACTGGGGCCTTCGGTGGAGCTCCCTGTGGGGCCACGAAACGTGTGAGGGGTGTGCCGAAATGGGTGTGCGGGACGCATGCGGGCACACCCACTGGGACCATCGGTGGAGCTCCCTATGGGGCCACGAAACCTGTGAGGGGTGTGCCGACATGGGTGTGCGGGACGCATGCGGGCACACCCACTGGGACCTTCGGTGGAGCTCCCTATGGGGCCACGAAGCGTGTGAGGGGTGTGCCGAAATGAGTGTGCGGGACGCATGCGGGCACACGCACTGGGACCTTCGGTGGAGCTCCCGATGGGGTCACGAAACGTGTGAGGGGTGTGCCGACATGGGTGGTGATAATGATGATGACGACAGATGATGATGACGATGACGATGATGGGGATGATGACGATGATGAAGAAGATGGGAGGAGGGAGGGGGCAGCGGGAAGGAAGGAAGGAACGCGGGGCGACGTCTCTTCAAAACGAGGACCCAACACCACAGGATGGTTGGGAAAAATCATAACGTCGGCGGGTTGGGAAGGGGCCCCTCGCGGGGGAATCGGCTCACAGGTGCTTTTCGAGGATCGATGCTGCACGCTATCTTGCCAACGTCAGCTGCAAAAGAAATCAAGACCTGGGCCCTGGACCCCATCTTTCTGCTCACTTTTGCGAGCCGTATCGATATGTGAGGGACCGGGGTCCCGAAGCAAGGCGAAAACGCCTGGCTCGAAAATCCTGCGACGTCAGGATATTAGAGACACAGGTCCGCTTCTGTTGAGCAGGGACCGACCGTCCCGGCATTCCTATAGTCCTACCACGAAATGTTCTCAGAACCCCAAAATGTTCTGAAAACAAAAACAGTGTTCTTAGAACATAGACCCGATGTGCTAAAACAAGACAATATCAACCAGACATGTTCTAAGAACATTGCGTAAAAGGTTCTTAGAACATTGTTTGGTCGGCCTATAGGCGAGCCAGGACGCTTCGCCACTGCGTGATTCTGGTGCCCCTGCCATCTCTGGCATCGGCCTTCCGCCCCTCGCCTCCTCCCCCCCTCCGCCCGCGCCCGCGCCCGGCCCGAGCCCCCCTCCCGCAGGAGCCCCCGCCGACCCGACGTCAACGAGCACAGGTGCGGGCGCGACGGCGGCGCCGCCGACGACCACGTCGACGGCGCCGACGGCGACGGTCGCCACCGCCGACCCGACGTCAACGAGCGCAGGTGCGGGCGCGACGGCGGCGCCGCCGACGACCACGTCGACGGCGCCGACGGCGACGGTCGCCATGATCGCCGGGTCCGTGCAGCTCCTCCTGGGAGACCCAGGCGCAGCGCGGACCGGCCCGCACTCCGAGGGCTTCCTGGCCGCGGTGCGCCACACGGTCGCCCTGGTGGCCGCGGTGCCCGCGAGCCTGGCCGCCGCGTGGTGGGCAGAGGACGCCCGGAGGCTCGGGTCCGGCCCGCGCAGGCCTGCGCGGGCGGCCTGCAAGCCTGCGGTCGGGCCTGCCCCTCTAGAGGGGGAAGCTTCAAACGTAGCCAAACAAAAAAATGGGGACATGTTCTGACCCATCGTTCGCCTGAAGCCTACCATTGTTTTTGGGTCTTTTTTGGGTATGCCTCATTGTTCGTCTGAAGTCTAGCGGCGGACATGCCCGACCCAGTGCAGGCCCTGATCTGCACCGGGAGCGGTCCGCCGGGGCTGCGGGGAGGCAGACGGGTGTTGCGGTCTGGAACTTTGGGGCGCTGTGTCGCTCCGCCAGTTCGGGCCCACCGCGCTTCGGCGCGACACGCGGTCCACCTTCCGGTCCCCCGGCGTCGCCGTCCCGAGCCGCTCCGGGCCTCCGGCCCCGCGGAGCGGAGCGGCACGCTATCCGTTCGCAGGGCCCGGCGTGTCGCCGGGACTGCCGCGGCGACACGCGGAGCAAGAGCGCACGACCGTGTATAAGTGGATGCTGGATGCCACGGTGGGTGGTGCCTGGCCTCTAGCCTCTCTCCCCCTCAAGCCACCCAGGGGGCTTCCAGCCCGCTGACTAGACCAGGCCAGTCAGCCACCTACCCGCTCAGAAGGCCAGATATTAGCCACCGATACTCTGAGTGCCTCAATCTGGTTTTGGGATGACCGATAGCTCGGGGGGGGGGCCTTGTAGTCCGGGGCGGGGGCTGTTGTAGTCCGGGGGGGGGGCCCTTGACGTCGGGGGGGGGTCCTGTAGTCCAGTCCCGGGGGGGGGGGGGACAACGCAGACAATGCGCTTTCGACAAGCGCGCAATCCCGTCGTCGAGCAACGCGGCGATTCCGCTGCTCTCCGAGACAACGGCCCCGACATCCGTCACTGTCAACCCGTAGCACCCCCTGTGTTGGGTGGGGGTGGCTGTAGTCCGGGAGTGGTCCTTGCAGGGCTGGGTCCCTGTAGTCACAGTCTGGGGAGGTGGCCCTTGTAGTCTGGGGAGTGGGTTCTTGTAGTCCGGGGGGGGGGTCCCTGTAGTCCGGGGGGGAGCCCTTGTAGTCTGTGCCTTTGTACTCCGGGGGACCTTGTAGTCCGGGGGCCCAAAGTTATTGAGGTTCATAAGACGATCCGGGGAGCCTCTTATTGTCATTTGGCCTGGCTTTCCTGCGCCTCCAGTGGTCCACAGTCGTTTGCTCGCGCCTCTTGAGACCACTGGGGGCTACGGGAGGCCCCTAGAGGCTATTGGAGGCCGCGGGGTGGCCACTGGAGGAGACACTGGAGGCAGCTCTAGGCGTGCGGGGGGCCGCTGGGGTCCAATGGTGGCCATTGGAGGAGCCATTGCGGCCACTCAGGTGAATACGAAAGGCTCCCAGGAGCGTCTTCTGAAAGTGAGGTGCTCACAGTGACCCCCATATATCCCCGTAGCACCCCCCGCGGTGATCCAAGTAGGGGCGGGGGATCTCAGGGCCCGGGCCGTGATATCTCCCAGATTTCTTGCTCCCCTTTTCAGGCGATCGCACACATGGATTAAGGGGGCGTGGATTAGCGACGGGTCCCGTTTCCATGGGAAATCGCACATTTCCGCCGCCGAGCGAGGCGGCACCGGCCGCATCTTTTTTCTTTTGGGGGGGAGCACCTCCCCCAATCCATGGATTGGGCAACCGCGCGCCAGATCCATTGATCGCCAATCCATGTTTGCGCGCAACCGACCGTTCCTTCTTTCACCACGTCCCTTGCCCCCCCCCCCCTCGTCCGCGCAAATGCCTCGGGCCATGGTTAGCGAACACCCCTCTTGGACGCCCTCTTCTTGGACGCCCCAGGCTGCTTACAATCCAGCAAGCTCGGTGTTTCCTCCCGCACGCCTCTGCATACAGGGGAAGCCCATGGCAAGAAACACCCTGCTTGCCTCCAGGGTGCCCTGGGTTTCTTGGGTTCGATGGTTTTGTTATGGAAAGCGTGACGTTCCCACACCAAAACTCGGTGGACGTCCCGGGGACTCAGAGTTGGGTCTCTTGCGGAAGTTGTTTCTTCTGGGCGAGGTCTACTGCACACCGAAGAAGCAACACACAGCGTAAGCAGAAATTTCTGACGTCCTCGCCGATGTCTCGGGTCGGCGTTGGAGCCCCCCTCTGGCAGCGCCTGAGGTGCCGCCCCTGGTGCGCTTCGGAGGGGCCCAACGCAGATCCAAGGAACCGGTGTGGATCTCTGAAAGTTTATGGTCCTGCATGTGTTCTTCTTTTGGGATCGCGCTGCATCGCCGACGCATTGGCGATGCGGTGCCATCCGGAGCAAGTGTTTCTCCATCCCGACATTGCCGATGCATCGGCGATGCAGCCGCGATCTTCCGACCCGATCTGCGCTCACCGCATCTGGAGGGACACTATTGCAGCCATCTGCACACATCTTTGGGGGCGGGCTGGGGTGCCGTCATGGAGAGGGGCTGTTTGGCCGCGCTCGAAGGCTTTCAAGCGGCGCCCTCACCGTGGAGTACAGCGTCGACGTGCCCGCAGATGCCTTGGCCTACCTTCCCGATGCAGCCGCTATGAAATATTCCCTAGACAATATCGACCTCGGCTCATTCACGTCGCTGCTGCAGGCAAACGTCGATGCGCAGGTCGGCGAGGGCGTGTACTCTGTTGGTGTGGCGCGCGTCACGGCGAACGTCGTTGGCGCTCTGGCAGCAGCAGCACCTGCGCCACGGGAGAACAGTGCTCGAGGAACTCAAAACAGCATAAACAGAAGCTTCGGAGGTCCACGCGGATTTCTTGGACCGACGCCAGACCCTCATCCTTGGCGCGCGCCAGGGGCGGCGCCGGGGGGGGGTCCCAGCGCCGATCCAAGAAATCTGCGCGGAGCTACGAACGTGTATGTTCATCCAGTTGTTTCTTCCTCTAGGTAACGTTGGCCTGGTCACTGCGATGGTGTCCATGCTGGTGTGCTGCCTCTGCATGACCCCGCTCTGCCTCTGCAGCTGCCTCTCCGTGCTCCGGCGCCGCCTCCGCCTCGCCGCCCAGAGCTCGCCGGACTTCCACTCGCTGATCCCCGAGCTGGTCCGCCAGTGCATCCTGGCTCCTCGGGGGGAGGCTTGCACTCGAAGAAGACAGAATCGCACACACATGAATGGCAGCCAGCGTGAGCCCCAAACGGCGTGTTCTAGCAGACTGAGAGGTGCAGTCTATGTGGTGGAATTGACTACCCTGCACCGCGCTTGACCACTCCACTGCTCGCGCAAACATCCCACCCACCCACCCGCAACTTGGTTCGCAAACTCTCTTAAGACCGTGATGGTGGGTACCAAATGGCACTTGCCAACGACAGCGACGCCGACGACGACAGCGACAACGACGACGACGACGCCGCCGACAACGACTACGACGACACCGACGACGTCTCCAACGACTTCGACGACGACGACCGACAACGACGACGACGACACGGAACGACGAACAACGCAGACGCCGACGACGACGACGACGATGACGAAAACGACGGGACGACTACGACGACGCCGACGACGACGACGACGTCAACGACGCCGACGACGACGACGACGACGACGGCGGCGACGACGACGACGCCGACAACGACGACGAAGACGACGACGACGCCGACGACGACGACGAAGACGACGACGTCGCAAACGAAGACGACGACGAGGAGGGAGGACGACGACGGCGACAACGGCAACAACGACGACAACGACGAGGGAAGAGGGAGGACGGCGACGACGCGAACGACGAAGAAGGAGGAAGGACGGCGACGCCGACGACGGCAACGACGAGGGGACGGGACAGACACGACGACGTCGACAACCGACGACGACACACGACGACGACGACGACGACAACGACGACGACGACGACGACGGCGACGAAATAGGAGGGACGACGACGAGGGAGGAGGAGGAAGGACGACCACGGCGACAACGACGACGGAAACGACCACGACTCCAAAGAGGACGACGACGACGAACACGAGGAAAGACAGAGGACGACGTAGGCGACGACGACGACGACGACGTGGGAGGAGGGAGGACGGCGACGACGACGACGACGACGACGACGACGACGCAAGAGCGCGCGCGCACGCTTTTGTTGAAAATCCGTGTTGCGAAACCTAGGGTTTTTGTAGGTTTTTTGGACGCGCGATTTCGAAATCCTTCCGAAACCGATGGGTTTTGAATGATTTCGGCGTACGCGCGCGACCACGCGCGCGTCTGCACTTCGTCTCAGTTTTTTGCAAAGGATTCTCGCAACGGCACACGCGCAAGGGCGTTCGACAGATTTCGACACGCGCGCGCACGAAGCCCGTTTGGTAGCATTTTGTGAAAATCTTGAAAAACCCATGGTTTTCTCAAGATTTCGCAAGAGCTCGCGCGGAAGCTTTTTTAGCAAATCAGTGTTGCGAAACCATGTGTTTTTGCATGTGTTTGGAAACTCGATTGCGAAATCCTTCCGGCACCGAAGGTTTTTGAAGGATTTCGGCATGCGCGCGCGACGACGCGCGCGTGTGCACTTCGTCTCACTTGTTGCAAGGGGTTCGTGAACAAGTGCGATGCTAGAACAAGACATGTCACCGCATAGTGTTTTTATAAAGGACCCTCAGTGGGGGGGGGAACCGGCCCGCCTGGGATGGTACGATTTCATATTTAGGATGGACGAGTGTGCAGAATATATATTTATATATATATATGAAACTATACTATCCCAGGGGGAAGCGTTAAGTCGGGGGGGGGGTAGAGTCTGTTCTCTTTTTAGAAAGGAGAATCCATGTGGTGCAATTTGTGTGGTGCAAGCTACGAGGCGCAATTGATTGAAACTATCGAGTTGACACACCCCATGCTCTTGCAAACATCCCACCCACCCACCCGCAAATTGTTTGCAAAACCCATGCGGTGGTGATTGCGATGCATGCTTGGCGTTGGCTGGTGCATCTCTGCGGTCGCACCAACCTTAGCACGCGCGCGCAGCGGCCAGCTAACTAGTTTGGCGCCACCAGCGCGGCCGCGGTTGCACTGACCGCTGGGCGCATCCCAGCGGGCACTTCACTCCCAGTTGGCGACTTGGGCGGCCGCGGTATCCTGGCAACGCCGAAAGAAGGTAGACACGATGATGATAGTAACGATGTTGGTGACGATGTTCGCACCAACGATGGCGCGGCCAGTGCGGCCGCCGATGGTGATCACGCCGACGACGATGACGGCGACTTCGCGTCGGTGATGAAGATGTTGGAAGGAGCTCGACGTGCGCGCGCGGCCGACATGCGAGAGTGGCCCGCATGTTTTAATTGGACACGGATCGTACCCCCCCCCAGCACGCGCTCAAGGGCGTGCGAATGATGACGGCATGCGGCGCCAGGGGCCCGCTTGGCAGAACTCCACGGTCATGCTTTATATATATAAATACATAAATACGATGGAAGAATTCGCAAGAGCTGACGCGCAGCTTGTTTGGCAAACCGATGTTGCGAAGCCATGTGTGTTTGAACGTTTCTTTGGACATTCGGTTTTGAAACCGCCACAAAACCGACGGTTTTTGAAGGATGTCGGCATGCGCGCGCGACGGCGCGCGCGTGTACACTTCGTCCCATGGTTCGCAAAAAGGGTTCTCGTGACGGCACGCGCGCCAGGGCGTCCGAACGATTTTGACATGCGCGCGCGAAGCCCATTTGGTACTATGGTATGCACAGGTTGAAGAACCTATGGCTTGTTCATCATTCGCCAGAGCACGCGCACGTGTTTCTGCTTTGTTTGAAAATTCGTGTTGCGAAACCATGTGTTGTTTTATGTGTTGTTTGGACATTCGGTTTTGAATTCCTTCCGGGAAACAGTCTTTGCAGGATTTCAGCATGCGCGCGCGACGACGCGCGCGTGTGCACTTCAACAGTTTTGAACAAGATTTTCCCACCACCGCCCACGTTTTGAACAAGATTTTCACGGCAATTCTAAATTCATGCGATACGCGAGTGTGCGCATATTTTCTGTTGCGGGGGATGACGGGGGGGGTCGAACCCGGTTTGGCTGGGATTGTACGAGTTCATATTTAGGGTGGACGATGGAGCAGAATCACACGTAAAGTGCACTACGCATTTGTGTACAGATAAAGCCGGGAAGGGGGTGGTGGATCCACATTTTTTTCAGGACAGGAGAACTGATATGATGCAAGACATGTGTTGCTCGCTACGTGGTGCATACTACGTGGTGCAATTTATGTGGTGCAAGCTATCTGGTGCAACGCATGTGGTGCATGCTACGTGTCGCAATCTATGTGGCGCAATCTACGCGGCACAATTTCTGTGTTGCCTGATATGTGGCGGCACTTATGTCGTGGGGCTTTAGGGTGTGAGGAGGGGAAGGAGGAAAAGGAGGAGGAGGAGGGGGAGGAGGGGGAGGAGGAGAAGGAGGAGGAGGAGGAGGAGGAGGGGGAGGAGGAGGAGAGGGAGGAGGAGAAGGAGGAGGAGGAGGAGGAGGAGGAGCAGACGCGGGCGCTGTCTCTCTGCAGAGCGAGGACTTTGCACCGCAAGACGGTTAGGACGAGCCTAGGGAAAAGTAATGATTGGGGCCTCCTGAAATTCCTCTTGGGGCCCTCCTCTAACACGTACCCCGACGCCGTTGGCCTCAACATGAGCAGTGACTTCTTAAAGTGGCCGCTCGGCCCCCACGCGGCGCGGTATCGCGGCGCGAGTGAGAGACGCCCCCCCTTGGTGTCATGATTTTGGCCTCTTCGGGCCTTCCTGGGGGCCCTCTTGGGGGGCCTCTGGGGCCGTCTTGGAGACCTCTTGGGGGCCTCTTGGGCTGTCTTACCATCTTGGAGCCATCCTGGGCCGTCTTGATGGCCTCCTGGCCCGTCGGAAGCCGTCGTGAGGGCCTCTCTGGGCCCTCTCGGGGTGCTCCAGGGCCATCTTGGAGGCCATCTTGGGCGTCTTGGAGGCATCTTGGGCCGTCTTGGAGCCTTCTCGGGACCGTCTTGGGGGGCTCTTGGGCCGTCTCGGGCCGTCAGAAGGCCGAACAGAAGCAAATGCCAACATCCTTCAAAAACCTACGGTGCATCATTTTTGTTACAACGAACCCTCAGACCGAAACACGCACGAGGGGTAGCTGCGGAACGCGGCACGGCACGTTGAACGTGGCTTGACCTCATGGCCTCAACTGCCGTTGGCCGTAACTTGGTCTGGAATTGTTCCGCAGAGGGGCAGTCGACAAAATGTTGAGGAAGATGATTAAAGACATACACTATACCAAACCTCGATCTAAGCATCATGGGATGCATGCCGGGCTCGACTGTATCACGGAGCGCTCTGTAATAAATGCGCCTTCCTCCGCCGAAGCCTTGACTCTCGAGGTTGTTGTGGACATAGGCGGGAAAAGGTCCCAGAGCTCAGGAGGAGCCTTGCCGTGAGCGACTTTGTGCAACAAACCTAACACAGACAAATCCCGTCTCAAACATGCAGGGGCAAGGTGGTACTCACAAAAGGCTTGGTCATCGGAGACCCCAACCGATTGCAAACATTCTTCCTGCAGTGCATCCAACGGAGCCAGTACTGCATCAGTTGCGTGAAAGATAGCTGGGGCAGCGCCGTCATTCAAGGTATCAACATGGCATTTGAACAATCTGAAAAGATCGGCAATTCTATAGAACTTGCTTGACCGAAGCAATGCCCGGAGCCGCCAAGATGCGTCGCGAGTGAATTCTTGGACGGCGCGGTGAATGGGCAGTTTGGGGTCGAAGAGCACGCTCAGGATCTTGAAGACGTCTCCGTGTGGCCTGCGCTTATCTAAAATGTGCATGCTCTCTTTTATAGCCTCGAAAGTCACCTGGTTTGGCCGCGCCTCAGGGCCGTCTTGAAGGCCATCTTTGGCGTCTTGGAGGCCTTTTGGGCCGTCTTGGGGCCCTCTGGGGGCCGTCTTGAGAGCCTCTTGGGCCGTTCTGGGGCCATCTTGGAGGCCTCTTGGGCGATCTTGGGGCGACCTTTGGGGGCTCTTGGGCCGTCTCGGGCCGTCAGAAGGCCGAACAGAAGCAAATGCCCAAATCCTTCAAAACCTAAGGAATATCAATGATGTTCGCCTCTTCGGGCCTTCCTGGAGGACCTCAGGGAGGCATCTTCGGCCATCTTGGAGGCCTCTTGGGGGCTTCTTGGACCATCTTGGAAGCTTCTTGGGCCGACATGGAGGCATCTTGAACCTGGGTTGTCGTGGAGGCCGTCTTGGACCATAGTGGGCGAACTTAAAGGCCATCTCGGGCCATCTGAGCCGTCTTGGAGGCCGTCTGGGGCCACCCTTGGAGCGGGAAAGGTATTGACCCGAAGATTTGTTTGTGGACGTTGAGGTCGTTTCCAGGCTATGTGCGCCCTTCCGGGTGGCCGGCGGGCTGGGCCGGAGCCCCAGGGGGAGTTCTTTTGGAAAAGAACCAAAACCAACAACGGTAGCGTCTAGCACGCCGGGCACCCTTGTGACAAGCACAGGGGGCGGCGGACTAGTGGCCCTAGGCCCACCCTGCCACCGTGCCTCGATTGCGTGTTCGAGCGCCGTCTGGGCCGTCTTGAGGACATTTTGGGCGTCGTGGAACGTCTCGGGGCCCCCTTGGGATTGTCTTGGCGGCTTCTTGGGACCCTCGCGGCCTGTTTCGGAGCCCTCGTGCCTCGTGCGAGAGCACGCGGCTAGCCCCAGAGCCTCCAAGAACGCCCAAGAGCGCCCGGAGTCGGGGGCTGCGGGCCCCTCCAAAGAGCATGACAAAATTCAGTGGCAGAGGTCGTGTAAGCTATGCGGTGTGAGCTGTGGACGTGGGCGTTATGCCGCGTGAGCTGTGTGAGGCGGAGTTGAAAAAGCTGTGCGGTCTGAGCTGTAATGCGTAGGCTATGGTGTGTAGGTTACGCGGGTTAGGCCATGTGGGAAAGCCATGTCGTGCAAGCGGTGTGGTGCAAGCTACGTGGTGTAGGCTCAGCGCACGGGGCACCCACGAGGGTCCACGAGGCGGCGCGGGCGGCAACTTGGCGCAACATTGGCGGACCCACCCAGCGGTCGCTGCGCCCACGAGCGCCCACGAGGCGGCACGTGGCGGCAACGTGGAGCATCCTCGGCGAACGCACCCAGCGTACAGGGCGCCCACGAGCGCCCACAAGGCGGCACTGGGCGGCAACGTGGAGCATCCTCGGCAGACCTGTCTGACCTGTCTGACTGCGGTCAGACATGCAAGCACGGTTTCGGGACCGCTGTTGCCCATAAAAAAAAGCAGATTCCACAAGCAGCGTTTGCCCCTAAGGGCTCTCACGTAGCTTGCCGAAGTAATCGGATGTGTCTGCTGGGGTTCCGCCCAGTGCCTGCTTGGTGGCCGCTCGTTGGCGGGGCCTCTTGGCCGCCCCGTGCGGTCCCGGGTTTGCTTAGTGCCCGGTTGGTGGTCGCCCATGTGGGTTTCGCTTTGGTGCACGCTCGTGACAGCCCGGTGCGTTGTGCGCACCACATAGTTCACCCCACGTAGTTTGCACCTTTCAGCGTGTGCCGCATGGCTTGCACCACATAGCCTGCACCACATAGCTTGCATCACATGACTTGCGCCACACAGCTTGCATCACAGAGCTTAGACCGCATAGCTTGTACCGCGTGGCCTGCACCACATCGCTTGCACCACGTGGCTTTGTTCACCACGTTTCATACACCACGCAGCTTGCACCACGCAGCTTGCACGACATAGCTTGCACTTCAGGGTGCAACAAGCCACTGTTAAGGGCCCACGCTGGCAACACACACACACACACACTCGCACACACACACACATGCACACACACACGTGTGTGTGTGTGTGTGTGTGTGCGTGTGTGTTGTTGAGTGTGCTGCTCTGAGCTCAAGCCGAAATTCTGCCTGCGACAACTTGTCGCCCTGGACTGCCCTCCTCGAGAGCCCCGAGCACCCCCCCCCCGAGCGAACATCGTCCGCGCCCGCGGGAGACTGCGCCCTGCGCGTGCCCGCCCCCCGGCGGGGCAGGGCCCGGGCTGCTCCTGCTGCCAGGGCTAGACCTAAACGCCGTCTTGCTGGACTGCCGCTGCGTTTTGTTCTTCGCTTTGGCAGGGAGATGCAGTCAACCCGCATAGTAAGGATGGGCAACTGCTCCAAGGTTGCCCTTGCATCCTTGCCCCTCCGGCTCATCCTTAGCGACGTTCGCTGGCCATCCTCGTCCGAAAAACGTCAACATCGCCTTTTAAGGCCCTTGCATCCTTACCGCGCATCCTTACTATAATGGGAGGAAACGAAAAAAAAAACGCCTCCCCCCCCCCCGGACCCCCCAAAATGATTTTGAGTGCGGCGGACTAATAGAATTCAGCCGCCGGGAACTGTTTTTTAAATCGTCCGCCCCCCGGCGTTTGCTTTTGCCCCTTTGGGGGAGGAGGAGGAGGAGGAGGAGGAGGAGGAGGAGTAGGAGGAGTCGGAGGAGGAGGAGGAGGACGAGGAGGAGGCGGAGGAGGACGAGGAGGAGGACGAGCTCGCCCTGAAAAATCACCCCGTCCAGCCCCCTGGCCCCCGCGCCCTGGATCGCCACCCCGTGCCCCCCCTCCCTGGCCTTCCAGGCAACCCGGAATTGTCAGCCCCCCGTCTGCCTGCCCTGCCCCCCCGCTATTGCGGGGGCGAGGAGTCCCGCGAAACAATTTTGTTTAATCGTCCGGCCCAAAAAGTTTTTTTTTGATCGTTTCCTCCCATTACGGGTTGACTGTACCGGAAAACGGGTAGAACAATAAAAAGAAGAGCAGAACGAGGAGCAACGTTTAGGTCCAGGCGTGCCTGCGGCCAAGTTTGAGGCCTCCCAGGCGGGTGCCGTCCGCGGCAAGTTAGCCCCCGTCTTCGGTGGCAAGTCTGACTCGTGCCAGGGAGGGCCAGACCCCCTCGGGCCATGAAGAAATCACGACGGACAGGTTGTCGCTACGTTCGGCCTCTGGGGGCCCTCACCGAGCCTCGGGGCCGTCAAAAGACGACTCGGGATGAGAAACCAGTCCGGGGCAATGCGTCTGGACCTCTGGGAGCCGCGTCATGAAAAAATCATGACGGGAGGTTTTTCGCTATGTTCGGCCTTTGGGGACCCTCGCCGAGCCTCGGGACCGCCAACAAAAACGACGCGGGATGAGAAACCAGTCCCGGGGAATGGTTCCGGACCTTGGGGGGCCGCGTCATGCAAAAACCATGACGTCGGGGGTCTGGGTTCGAGGATCGCTAAGGGTTTGGCACCTCTCCTCTGGCGGAAGGCGGCGGAAGGGCAGCGAAAGGCGGCGGACAGAAAACGAGGGCGCCTCCGCCGGCTTCCGCTGGCGGCAGTAAGAAATTGTCTCCCAGGAGATGGCAAGCTTTTGTTTTCAGGGATTCTGCAACGTGGGAGCCTTGGATGCCCTCACAATTACGTCTTCAAAGTTGCCGGTTCAGCGTGGAGTGGCGTCGACTTAGCGTCGGTCACCGGCGGCTAGTGTCGATTTGCTTCGATTCGCAAGGGCCGGCAAGATGGTATGGGAGGCTCCCATGAGTTGCCACCGAAGATTCCGAGTAGATGAGGTCTGAAGATCGCGCCGCATCGCCGATGCATCAAACCACCCCAAGCCAACCCGAAGGCCCCAAGTTGCCATCCATTCCCAGTGGGGGGGGGATCACGGAACATTGAACAAATGGCGATGGAACCCGTATGCCCCCCAACCCGAAATTCGGGCTTTCGGGTTGGGTTGGGTGGTCTGATTGGGAGCTAATGTGGGAGTTCTCTAGCCGTGTATCTCCACCTCGAGTGTTTCGTTCCAGAGCGTTCCGGAAAGCTCTCAGAAGGCCGCGGCGCCCAAGATATTTTCCAGAGCCGCCAGATCCCAGAGATTCTCGATTTGTCTTCTTCCGATGTTGTCCTCGTCCTGGCTTCGTCTTGCGTTGGCTAAGTCTCTCCACTTCGGGTGTTCCCTTGCAGGCTCCACCGAAGCCAGCCAATCGGAATCGGCAAGACGGCGCCTCCACGGGCCTGCGCGACGCCGGCGCCGCCACAGGAGCCTCCGGGGAGGCAGCAGCGTTCTCAAGGAAGAGCGCGTTTTGTGAACATTTGGAAGAGGGGGAGGGTCGGGCCGAGAAGGGCCCCCCCCTGGAATGCCAGGGGGAGGGGCTTCGAACCTGGGGGGGCACCTTCAAGTTGTTGGAGTTCGAACCGGGGGGGGGGGCCACCCCACCCTAGTTGCAAGGCAGGGGGGAGGGGTTGTTCAAACCGCCCCCCCCCTCCTCCTCGATCTGTCGAAAGGGGCGCGGGGGGGGGGGTTCGAACCAGGGGTGGCACCCCTCCCTCCCTGTCCATGGGGGGGGGAGGGGATTCGCAAAGGAGGAAGACCCCACCCGCTCCCTGGCGCCAGCAGGGCAGCAGCGACGACGACGACGACGACGACGACGACGACGACGACGACGGCGCCCGCGCCAGGCGCCGGCGCTGGCGCCGTCGAGCAACGAAGATGACGACGACGCCGTCGCCGCTGACGACGACGCTGGCGGCGGCGGCGGCGACGGCGGCGACGGCGACGGCGACAGCGACGACGACGCGCACAGGGCCCCCCCACCCCACAGCGACGGCCGCGACAGCGACCAGCGACCGACGACGACTACTTCGACGACGACGACGACGACGACGACGACGACGACGACGACCACGGCGACGGCGACGGCGGCGGCGCAGCCCGAGGCGCCGGCGCCGGTGCCGTCGGGCAACGATGACGACGACGACGCCGTCGCCGCTGACGGCGACGCCGGCGGCGGCGACGGCGATAGCGGCGACGACGACGCGCACAGGGCCGACCCAATCCCCACAGCGAAGGTGGAGACTGCGACCAGCGACCAGCGACCAGCGACCGACGACGACGACGACGACGACGACGACGACGACGTTGACGGCGACGGCGACGGACACGGCCACGGCCACGGCCACGACCACGGCCACGGCCACGGCCACGGCGACCAGCGACGACGAAGACGACGCGCACAGGGAGGGGAAGGGGGCCCCAGTTCGAACCCCCCCTTGCAATTCAAGGGGGGGGGAGGCCCCCCCTCCCGGTTCGAGCCGCCCCTCCCCCTTTGCAACTCAGGGGGGGGGGCCGGCTCGAGCCCCGTTCCCAGTGGTCAGGAGAAGACTCCCCGCCGTTCTCCAGGGACACTCTATGTTTTGGGGGGATGCTTTCCCCCGGCTCTAACGGGGGGCTTTCGCCCGGCTCCAACGTGTCAAGGTGTATTTTCGTGTCCAGGCACGCGCTCACGAAGCGCGCTCTCTTGTGCTGAAGCTTCGCGCTCCCCTCGAGGAGGGACGGAGGCGGAGGGGCGCGCGAGAAGTGTAAGAGCCTCCTTCCCCATTCCTTCCCTCCTGGGTCCTTCCCTCCCCGTCCGTCCATCCTCCCTCCTTCCCCAAGAGACCTCCGTCTTATCGATCCCCCCTCCCTTGCGAGGAGAAGGGCGCTCGAGGATATGGAGGTCCCGGGGCGGCCCAGGCTCTGCTGTATGGGGCTCGGCGAGGCCTGCCCAGGGGCCTCCATGGAGCCATCCGGGGACCTCCAGACACCTCGGAGAGGGCGTGCTCTCTGCGGGCCCCGCGCACCTGGACGAGGCGAGGGGCGGCAGCGAGGGCCGCAGAAAAGGAGCCCTGAAGGGGCCCCTTCCAGGCCCCAGAGAACCAGACCCTCGCGCGCTGTGAAAAAAATCACGACGGGAGTTGTTTCGCCATTTGCAGCCTTTGGAGGCCCGCCCCGCGGCCGCGAGGACCAGGCTTCGGAAGGCCTCCCGGGCCCAGCTGAACGAGGCGAGGGGCGGCAGCGAGGGCTGCAGAAAAGGGGCCCCAGACCCCCGACGTCAAGATTTTTTCATGACGCGACCCCGAACGTAATTAACGAAAAGCCTCCCTTCGTGATTTTTGTCACAACGCGAGGGGGCTGCGGCGAGGGTTGCAGAGACGGCACCCTGAAGGGGGGCGGCGGCAGCCGCGAGAACGCTCGCATGATGTCGCCGCGTTTTGTTACGTTGCTCTGAATATCTCTTGCCGTTCTCATCGCGAAGTTGTTTTTCAGGAGCTCAAACATGGATGGTGGCTGTCGGCCGTCTATGCCAAGTCGCCCTGGGGGCAGGTTATCCAGTGTCTCGGTGCTGCAGTATAATCCTATGCGCGCGTCCTCCCTCGATCGTCTCGTCGACATCGCGGATCAGGCTCGCAATATGGATTTCGTTTGCTTCAACAGGACGGGCGCGAGGAGGTATGGGCAGGCGGGGATTGCGGATTGGAGGAAAGTTGGGGACCAGTGGTTGTTAGAGGCGGGATGGGCTAGAGGACTGTTTCGAACAAGGCGGCAGGATGCTCGAGACTCCTAGGTACACGCATTCCGCGGCATACGGTTACACATCACTGGGTCGCCCCGGCTGCACGACGCGGCCTTGCATTTAGAGCACGGTCCAGGGCGTTCGACTTAGGCATTGTCAACGTGTACTTCCCCCTTATCCCCAGCCATCCGGCACAGTACCCTGCGTATGCCAAGACTTGTGAGCATCTCGTTCGCTTGATCCGAAATAAATTTGAAGTTCGCACATATGCTATCCCGTTACATGCGCTGGCATTGACTCAGGATTTGGCTTGACTCAGCTGGAGGAGACAGAGCGCTGGTACCCTGTTGAGTCTACCAGCATCGGTCCCCATGCACCGCGTGCTCGGCAGAGATAGTCTGCCAATGTGATGCTTCGTTTTCTTGAAGACCTTGACCTCGTCGCTCTTAACACCTTCGTCGGTGCACGCTGTCCCCTGGATTCTGCTCTCTCCGCATGACCACTTAGAAAATTAGGCAAGTCCCTCCAGATCATTAACGCGAAGGCTGCCCGAGATCACATCCCACTCCATGCACGTCTAGGTTATGATTATCATGACGTGCTTGGTCTCCCTACGCACTTTCAGGCTAAAGATCGCATCGGGTTCCTCCATCGCCGAGTTCGCTGGAACATGGCATCTCTCACGTACAGCTTGCGTACTGGAGCACAACGTGCGGATTTTTTGAACGCAGCCGATCACACATTGCAGGAGGAGGAGACGTGGAGGGAACTTCGACAGGAGCAGTTGTCGAATGCCCCGTGTGGGGGGGTTCTCACGGTGGTGGGTGAGGGGGCGGAGAAGCTTCTTACGAGTAAACCAGAGGTGGCCCCTAGCTACAAACGTCGAGCTGACCGCGTCAAACAAAAAGTTCTGGCTACGCGCAGGCGCATCGGGCCCCAGCTTGACGCCGCATCCGACAAGGCGTGCGCGGCGATTGAGACTCACCCAGAAGCTCCAGGCGTTGTCTCGGAATCTCAGGAAGCTTCGCCGCAGATGATTGACTTTGTGGCGTGAGGATGTTGCGCGTGAACTCAATGAGGCGCTGGCCAAAGGTCGGCCCGCAGAGGCAGCCCGCCTCTCGCGATTGCTCTCAGGCCGTGGCACTGGACCCCTCAAGCGCAGATATCGTCGTGCTCTCGCTGCTAAACCTTATGCTTCTGACGTGCAACATAGACTGCAACTATCTGCGGGGGAAGGGGGAATGGAGGCGGACATCATAGACTTGGAGAAGGAGGTGGAGGACAACATGTCCCATGCTACTGCGGGGATTGAAGCCCGGGAAAACCGATCTCCGCGGGCCCAGGAGGGGCTTTCGCGGGCCAAGCAGAAGCCCCAGCTTATTGCAGCGCACTTTCGCAATGCGGGCAACCGGCGCGCAGTGCCCCCCCTGCCCCCCCCCCCGTTTGAGGTCTTCTGGATGCTGTTCCACCCTTACCGCAGGACTTCGAAACGATTTAGAGGCGTCGGTTTCGAGTCGCCGCAGATTGGCCTCCAGCTCGCACGCGCATTCTTGGCTAGCATGAAACATGGTATACGTCGCATAGGTCATGCCCCTGCCTCTTGGCACCTCTCCATGGGCGTCGCCATCACCTGGAAGCGAGTTATTCACATATTGTGCCTTTTGGAAAGGCTTTCGTGGCCAGTGGCATTCGGACAGATGATAGAGACAAGGAACCGTGCCTCTGTCATGGCTGCATCGCCCGGCGCCGCCGAGAGACCCCAATGACGGTGAAGCAATTGGTTTCTTGGAAACTTAGTCGTCTGGGGCTTCAGCGCATCGCTAACCGCAAAGAGATCGCCAACGCTTTTGGAAGCACCTCCTGGGGCGCACTTCCTGAGGCCAACAAATCGCCCATGAAGGAGGAGGAGGTCGTGTTCGGGGAGCAGCGCTTCAGGATGGCAGTTGTGCGTTTCGTTGGACCAGATGGCCTCTTCTATGCTCGCCTTCACGCTGGCGCCCTGCACGGGGATCCGCGGGCAGTAAACATGTTCGCGTGCGACAGTTGCACTGCATTTCAGGCAGCCCCGGATGAATGCGCACGCAGTGGCGACCCCCCCCCCCCATCAGCTGAGCGGTGCGTTGTGGACATCCCTGATGAGGGGGGGGGGACTTTGAGTTGGACCCATCTTTCCACGTGTACGTAGATGATGGGGCGAGGAAGTTGGTCAGTCAAGGTGCAGGAGGCGATGGGGCCCTGGAGCTCAGTCGCAAGCCGCTCGCTTTCGACACCATCCTCTCGAATGCTCTCCTCGCGCACAACTATAGGCTGAACCCCGCCAAGAACGAAATTGTGCTTGCTTTCTTCGGCATTGGGTCCCAGGGTCGACGGCGCTGCGCTCGTTCCAAACAGGTCCCTGTTGCTGGAATCCCTAACGACCTGGCAAGATACCTCGGCTGCATGCCCCGAGCAGACTGTTCATTCGCCATCGAGCTGGGTAAACATCTCGAGGCCATCGGCACGGCCTATGGAAGCATGCGCCGTTGCTGGACTCAGGCCAAAGTTCCCTATGTTGAGAAGCGTTCGGTTTTCTTGAGCAAGATATTGGGATTGGCTGTCACTGGGCTTGAGGCGTTTATATTCACCCCCGTCCAGATTAACAAGTGACAATCACGCGTGAATAAGTATGGCCGTAAGGCGATGCGACGGGCAGCCACTTTCGACGCAGGA